TCAGAATCGCTTTTATTGCTAGGTATGTGAACACACACAAGGAATTTGACTCCAGTTTTCCTTTGTTCTCTTAGTACAACAGTTTAAAAAAACAACAACCAAACATAGAGATGAACAAGGACAAAAGACAATAACAAAAGCTATGTATATGTACAAAAAAGCTAAATTGTTGTTGCAGATGGTGCACAGTGCAAGGATATTGTATATATACAACTATGTCTTTATATGTTGTATACCTACATCTTACATGTAATGTTTTTCACAAGATATTCGCAGATAGTTTTGTTGTCTTCAGTATTATCCCTTTAGCTGCTGTGTGAGCCCCCGCTCTGCCTGTGGGGGTCGCTGTGGGGCCCGTGTTGACAGGTCATATGACAGCCGCTGTCCGAGTCTACTTCCCTTCCCCGCTGGAAAACGCCACATCTGACAGGGAGGGAGGCTCACACTCGGTCGTGGGGAAACGTGTACACCGCCGTCAAGATGCTGGCTCTCATAAACCGGCTGCTGGACTGGTTCAAGTCCCTGTTCTGGAAGGAGGAGATGGAGCTGACGCTGGTCGGCCTCCAGTACTCGGGGAAAACAACATTTGTAAACGTGATCGCTGTAAGTCCTCAGCCGCTGTTAGCCACCTTGCTAGGGCAGCGCTAACACCATCCTCGCGGATACCGGGGGTTAATAGCTGGGTGGTTGTGTTCGTGTTGTGTTTGGGTTGTCTCGCAGTGTCCCGGTCCGGAAGTCATGTAACGTGACTGTGTTGTGTTCACAGCATCCGCAGAAGCACCTGTGTCAACAAGTCACCTGGGCTAACTGCTCTGGTGCTAGCTAACACCGCCTGTGTGTTGTGATTGCTTAGCATGCTAATCTCAAACATGACACTGAGGCCCGAGAGTCGTCGAAGTGAACATGAAACTGTTTATCTGCTTTGTTGGGACTTTTATCCTGCACACCTCCAGACCGTCACGAGAGAGCTGAGGTCGGGTTGACTGTTTCACCAGCTGACAAACATGACAGCTCCAGAAACATACTGTTCTCTGTGCAGCCGGAGAGCGTGTGAAATGTGTCTTTACCTCAGATGCTAACGCTGATCTGAAGGCAGATTGTGATCGTGTGTGGTACATACAGTCTTAAGGTGTCCTCCTGCGACCGTGGCCGAGCGTCTCTCTTGTGCAACCTCGCTGGGATTTCTCAAAACTGGTGTTTCTGGTGCAGCAATTTGCATTAGCCAATCACTGCACAGCCACCGGAGTGTTTTAGCAGCAAATTGTCAAAAAGGCAACAACCCTTCCTGCGGTTATTAGAGTCAGTTTGTGGTGGGGATGGCTCTCACAATGATTAGCACATTACTTGGAATCCACGATGAATTTGGGTTGTGTAAGTTTTAATCTCAAGTGTTTCACTAGTGCGGAGCAATTCAGCTTTCTTTAACTAAAATGAAATCTCTATTGTAGTATGCTCCAGATCTGTGGGGAATTGTCATTGCTTAACATTTCACTAAAGTTCATGTGACTAATTAAATAAATCCCTCAATCCTAATAGTCATAGCTGATTGACTGTAAAAGTGTTTTGCCAAAGTCTGCAGAGAAGGAATCATGTCAAGAGAAAGAAAGTATTTGCAGCTGAGTCACATTTCAATGTGGACAAGAGCCAAGACATTTTTAAGATGTTTCCTCCTTCAAACACCTGAGAATGTGTCAGTCTGCTGACTGTCCTGTTTCTCCTCTTATTTTAGTCTTTATTGTTAAGTGTGTTTGCAAGTTTACAAAAACGTTTATTTTGATTCCAGCAGTATCATCCTGTGTCTCTA